GGTTCCAACACATGATTGTACAACGGATGTGACTGGATGAACTGCTTCAGATGACGTGCAAATGGTGTCCAAAGGTTGGTTTCGTTCCTGGTTAGACAGATGTGGTATAACTATAGTCACAACAATTGTATATCCTGTGGTCACCCTTACCTCAAAATCAAATAGAATAATATTTAAAATTGAAATTTGGTAATTGGGTCAGATAATGCCCAAAGAAAGGTGGGTGGTTTCGGACTTAATAGAATTTGAACCTCTAAATTAACAGAATGTCTAGTGCACTATCCTAATATTAGGCTAAAGACATCACACAAAAAAATTGAAGATTTTCTTTATAAAACCCTACGTAAGCTTTATTTTTAAATTACGCTCTAAATAAACAGGGTTTATCAAAACAAAATAATGGAAAAAAGTGACAAAATTAACGTAGTCGTTATCGATTTCGATTCTTTTGTTATAAATATCCCAATCGTCCCATACTATTCAAAGGGATGGATATTCTTCTGATTGAAGTTCTATGTCGCAATTTACGGAATTTACTCACTTTTTTAATCCCAGAGCGGTGCGACGTAGCGGTAGATACTCACTCTTTCTCTCTTCATGTATATATATATATATATATATATATACTTATTGGCATGTTTATAAAGCATGCACGCAGTCCCACAAGAAGAGCGAAAACGTGCAGCTCATTTGTCCCATTTCTTCTTCGCAAAATGCTGAACTAACCTGTGAGACTGTAAAAGTTACACTTCACACTTCGATTGTGTATGACGTACACACCATTTCATTGTGGCTAAAATTGTCTTCCTAGAAAAGATCTCTCCATAATGATTATTGAGTGCTATCTTTTTATTAAGTGGTGATAATTAAAGTTTTCTTTCAGTTAAACGTGCTGAGTTCTGAAGTGTGTATAAGTTTTAGTTGGTGAGAAGCCAAATCAGTTCGTTTTCGTGTTTGGCAACGAGAACCAAAGTTATGAAACAACCCGATGTCCGCACGCGTTGCTTTGGAACCAGTGGGTGTATCCGGTTCGATCTTGTGTGCAATTTCTACGAGATATTAATAACTTAGAACTGGCTATCCTTCGGACTTCACCTTCCTGCACATTCTTCATCTCTTCCAGTCAACCAGACGGTCGGAGGCGCTGGACTCGAATTTCACTTTTATTGGAGCTCTTCAGTATTGCATATCCACCGTCCCGTTCGATGATGTTGGCGTTGGTAATATAATAATATAATATCTCTTACCGTCTCTAACGAACGACATATCTCATCCCTTTGGCCCCAACATTGAAGGCGGGCTGCGCCAACCGAAGCCAAAGCTGAAACTGGCTTCCTGATAACTCTAAGCCATGTCATGGTCTGACCGCCGCGACGTTGCTTCCAGCATTGCCCAGCATATGAAAAGAGAGCACGAAGGGTTAACGATGGACAAGTATACGCAAAACATGAAGAAACCATCGGAGGCGGTGTATAGCAATTACTTCTATAAGAGAACGACCATCCGCACCCAACACACCAGGACGGACCTCGTCATTGCTCACCCGATGTTCCACCATACATGGGTAATGCTTAGGAGACATCGGCGGTTCAATACGGGAAGTCGATTAGCATCTTTCGCTCGGCGATGTCAGATCATGCAACCGTAAAGCGGTGATGTACACCCCTCTCTTAAGGGACAGTCGGATGTAATGATGGCACGACAGGTATCCCAGGTTAGCAAAAATTGCTCTAGCATTCGATATTCGATATGTGATCTGCTCCTCAACACCACGACCAGTTTCAATCAAGCTATCGAGGTAGTTAAAGCTGTCAACTATTTCTATCTGATCACCACAGAGGGTGAGTGCAGGAACAGGCTCCCGTCAGTCTTCAACAAGCACTTTGGTGCAGAGCAAATACCATACCTGGATACCTCTATCGTCAAGCGGTTGAAGGTGTGACAGACTGCCTGTGTATTGTCACCATACGAATGCCGTAACTTCTTACTGGGGTGTGACAAAAAATGCCACTAGGCAAAGGATACAGAATTATTTAGTAACTTTTTTTCGTGGCTATGAGTGTTATAAAAAAACGCAACGGCTGCAGAGTGCTCTTTTCCTGCTTTCCTGTTCCAAGCGATCTTCTAAACATTTGTAAAAACAAGTGGCAAATCGGAAAATTTAAACGGAACAATAGACGCACAATAAACAAATAAATACAAAAACCTAGATGAGCTAAAGGAAGAGCATGCTGATTTTAGACGATTATATTTGCATTTTGTCAAACAGATGTGCGCAATGACACGCTAAAAAGTTGCAGAAAAGAATAGGCAGAAGAATTTTCCAAGTGCAAATCAATTGTAGTAGCGCCAAATGTTCTGGTTTTAAACAACAAATTAGAAAATTGAACTCATGATTAAAAAATAATAATCAGGCACAATTGAAACCAATCAGTCCAATCCACACCATTGTTAGCGGGCACTCTCTGCATGGTGCAGGGCGTAAAAAGCTCCTTTGGCCTCCAACAGATCTGTGGGACTACCTTCCTCGATTTTCTTCCCGTTCTCAATCACAACAATCACGTCACTGGTTTCGACAGTGGTCAAACGGTGAGCGACGACGATCGACGTGCGTGACATACGGGCCGCGTCCAAAGCAGCCTGCACCAAACGTTCATTTTCACTGTCCAACGATGATGTCGCCTCGTCCAACAGCAGTAAAACTGGTTTTCTAATCAACGCCCGGGCGATCGCGATTCGTTGTTTTTGTCCTCCGGATAATTGGGAACCACCTTCACCAGCCAAAGTATCATAGCCCTGGAGATGGCAACAAAATCGAATGTTCAGCAGAGGTCCAACAACAGTTAACAGACCAGAAAGTCCCAAACAACTTAAAAAAGTTAGACCATCTAAGTCGACTGTAAATATTTACACACATACATAATTAAATGAACAGAAACGATGTGAAATAAGCAGTCACTTTCGTTTTGCCTCCTATGGCATAAAAAAACTAAATACTTGTTAGAAAAGCATGCGTTGTTGTTGTTGTGTATCAGCGATCACAAGCTGGGCAATGTTACATTTATCCACAACTCGGTTATTAAACAGGAAAACAACCATTCACATAGATGCGTGGATTTGTGACAAAATACAATTGATTATGGCGATCGTAGGATAAAAATGTAAACTGCAGCGAATAAAGTAACCAACCACATGTCGAACGGTAGTCAATCGACAGTGCATTACAGAGGAACGGGTGATCAGATGAAAGTTGGTCTACCAGTTTAAGATGGCACCAGTAATTCACACAGTCAAGTCCGTTTAGAAATATCCAGCGTGAATGTGGTTAGATCACATGGATAATTTAGAATAATGTTTCTTTCCGTGCCGGTTTTCAGTCATCTTTGTAATCTGAAGAAGCCCGAAACCAGAGTAATACTAATTATTCTTAGGTTTAGTCATATAAAATGAAAAACCTACAGATGATAGCCATATGTGATTGTGAACAAATTAGGACTAAAGAAAAAAGCAGGAATCGAGTAATTGGAGAAGGGAAAAGATATAACCATATACGGATCGTAGTTGAGAAGCCAACGAAACTAGTCATGTAGGACAGCACATAGACCGTACGACGGCTTGAAAAAACATGGCTAGTATGATTCCCAGTTGAGAAAATTCCAGAAAACATTCCGATATAGATTTGCGATGACTGATATTCCTGTTGTTCGGACGCTGAACGACATAAATTTATTTTTGTGACTTCATTAACACTTTGATATTCCCTAAAAGGGAAATTAGTTGATTTCTCGATATGATGCTATCAAGCTTTGACAAATTCATCGTTTTGTGGTCACAAGAGCTCAACCTTTTTCTGCTCGCAGGCCGAAGGTGGCAAATTGAAAAAAATACAACTGGAATAAAAATCAACTCACTTTTGGTAGACTGGCAATAAATTCGTGTATGTTCGCCTGACGTGCGGCATCCATAATTTCATCCATACTCACATCCCTCGTGTTGTCTCCGTAAGCGATATTATCCCGTATGGTGACATTAAATAGAACCGGTTCTTGGGAGACTAAACCGATTTGGTGTCGAACCCATTGGGGAGCTAAATCGCGTAAATTCATCCCATCAAAGAATAAACCGCAATCTGGATTGTGATTCGATGGGTCGTAGAACCGTTGCAATAGCTGAATCAGAGTGGATTTTCCACATCCAGATTGACCGACAATGGCCACAGTTTGCCCGGGACTAATGGAGTGACTGAAGTTCTACATTACATAAAGAATGAACTGGTGAGGTGAATTGAGCAGATATTTCAAACAGACATGCATAATGTTATTAGTGGGATGCAAGGACTTTCAGCAATTACAGATAACTGATTATCATTCTACCATCTATTCAAGATATTACTGAAAACCAATTCTGAACTGAACGAAAATAATTGGTTTAGTCTCTACATATTTTTTCGAAAGGATGGATGTTTGATATTCAATGGGAGATACTAAGGCACACAGCATGTATCGTTTTTGGATCTCATATCCACTTTTTATCATACACACAGAAGGCACAGATAAGTCAATCAAAATAATGTGTCAAAACCGGATGCAAAGACCGATGAGTGAGTAGAAAATTGCTTCGAGGAATTGTTCAAAAATTCAAACGATCCAATCACTGTATGGGCCGACAAGGAGAACTAAATAACTGTTTCGTTTTTGCTGTCTGACATCTTACAATAATTCCATCGAATTTAAATTCATTTCACATGTGAGAAATTAATGAACTTCTCAAGAGCGAAACCCAAAGTCCCAGTACGCGATGACCATATAGTGTCTGATGCCTGTAAAAATACCAGTGGATTCATCCAAACCGGAAGTTCTGAAATCGAAACAATGTGTTTGGTACCTTCAAAACGCGAAATTCTGGCCGTGTAGGGTATCGAAACTGCACGTTTTTGAACTGAACATTCCCTTTGAATGGGGTCGAAGGCACTTGTCCTTCATCTGTCTTTATTTGTGGAACGCGATCTATGATGGCAAGCATTTTCTTGGCGGACTCCATTGCTGCCTTTGCATCTGGATTAGCCGCAGCAGCGTGCCCAAGTCCCTGGGAGCCCATACTGAACACAAGAAAAACTCTAAAAGCAAAACAGAACAAAATACGTGAATGAACAGTTCCGCCAACAATCATGGCGTGAAATCGATTCTCAGCCTAATGTTCTTCAATCATCAATATGGTATTTTCGGATAGGTTTGTACGCAGGTTAAGAGGAAAATCAATCTATTTCAGAGGTGGCAAAATATATTATCTCCTCGTGCTACCGAAATCCTCTATTTTGCGAAATTTTTCCCCTAGTATTTCTCGTATTGTGAGTAAGATTGATTTTCTGTGCTGTTCCAGCCTCAAGTGCTATACAAAGTTCGAAATGTTTTGAAATTGTCTTTTTGTCCAGGTTAGGCAGATCAGCCTACGCTCTCCGGCTTGGTCAAATGGTGTTTAGGCTAAAACTGAAACCCTATCTGCTATGCATCCCGATTGTGAGCTGCTTTGCGTTGTGTGTATTAACACATTCATCTCTTCATTTTTGCGTATGAGTGTAGTGCGGATGAAGACACATTAATAAAGTTACATTTTAGCTGAAAGAAAATCCATTCTCTTTGATACGTTACACACAATGCCAACCAAGATAACCAGAAAATGTGATGGGAAAAGTGACATCGAGCATTGAACTCCGATGAAAGTAAGTGATGGTAATATGAAGAAAAAATAGAACGCAGCACGAAACTCTCTAAGCTACTATTCCTGCAATCAAATTTAGGATTTTCTGCAAACACTAGCTGACAACTGGATAATTAAAAAAAAACACTTTCTGTGCATTTTGAATTCAGTGATGACGTGATGTCGAACAAAAAAGTAATATCCTCACTCCCAGGATTTATTGAATTTGATTGACTATCCTTTGGTATTCACCTTCACTGAAGGCAACACCCGAACAAACATGAACTGGAAATTTGGTTCAGCCGTAGCATGAGCTGGTTGGCACAGTGGTAACACACACCTTCCATGTGATGGGTCCAGTGTTCAAATCCCGGACGGGACGGTGGATATGCATTATTGATGAGCTCTAATAAGAGCGAAACTCGAGTCTAGTGCTTCCGAGTGTATGGTTGAATCGACGAACTGAGGATTGTGCACGAAGGTGAAGTCCGAAGAATAGTCAGGTAAATCAATCAATATCGATTATCCCGCACACTACGCATAAGTAACTGAATCAAATGCGAAGATTTATTGATTTCTTTCTCAATGCACACTGATCAATCAACTTTTCTCCAGTCCCAACTATACCACAGTTTGCGGTGCTCACCTGAACATATCCACCATGAGGATCTTCTTCTGTTCAATCAGGTATGTGCCCAAAGCAAATGTCGCACAAAATGAGAGTGTCGGTACGATCAGCGCGAACGCGTACACCAGGGAGAAGGTCATTGAGCGTCTAAGTTGAGTCCTGTGCACACAACACACGGAAGAGTAGTGGCCGCATTTGAAGCTTGCAGTGAATCACAAAAAACATTTATATATAGTTCTATGCGTGACAACTCCTAAGGTGCAATAGGAAAAAGCATTAAAGATGTGAACCCACTTTAAGGAGACCATCCTTCTTTAAAACAGAAGACTGTTAACAGAGAGACCAAGGTTGTTTTTGCCTTCACTCGTGGCTTTCCAGCCATCGCTCATAACCGATTCTAGGTCATAGATGCTCAGAGTAACACCAATAGTACATCAAGAACACACTTGTTAAAATTGGTACAGGTGGAAATATCGAGATACACTGATTTAACCTTGAATGGAAACTTTCTCTGCTTCGTCTTCTCGCGACCGAAAAGCCTTAGTGAACATGCATTTTTAGAAACATTTTCGTATCAGCGCTCGGTTTTGCTGACAGGATATAAGTTTAGTCTAACTGTTGGGACATGCCTTACTGGTACCCTTAGGTGAAGGCTGAGAAATGAAGAGCTAGGGCTGGAAAATCACAGAAAACACTAGGTTTTTGTGATCATCAACATGATTTTACTGTATTCTTCCACTTGGAAAACGTGTTTTGCAGGTGTAAGAAACGCGTAATTTCTGCGTATGATAAAAGGTTTGTCCTCTGCAAGGCACTCTAGATAGTCGCGTGGATTAAATCGGAAATGGCTAATCGATACCAATGAGGAGATTGAAACAGTAAACGTAGTGATATTATTAGGGCGGATAATTACTCGTAGATGTGATTGATATAAGATATGAAATGTTGAACAAATTTACCAGTCATAGTATCTAATAAACTTGAAAATGTTTAAGATACTCAGTCTAGTTCCATTCGACCCGCACAAGATAGATAGCATGGCAAATTCAAACGCGGGATCAGAGCATACTTTAGGAAGTGAATGGTAGACTGGTCGAACTTTTGACAGAAATAGTGCTCCAGTGAGAAAGAAGTCACCGTTCGTTCAGCCCGAATGGCTTCTTGGGCAATTTTCACAGATTTGGTGTCTTGAAACTCATTGTTTTTATTTCCCTGCACCCGAGCCTAAAATAAAAAAAACATACTAGATCTGCATAATGCACATATCAACTTAAGGATAGATAGATATTAAACATTGTATATGAATATAAGGCTTTACACTAGAATTCCATAAAGAAGCCAAGAGATCACGAAAAAAAGTAATTGGTTTGGAAATATGACCAATCAATTCGATTGATGTCATTTCATGTCCTATTGACACCGTATTACTGACTTTCTCTGAGTGTTTCCGTGTTCGGGGTGACTAACAATTACACTTCGCAGTTATTCATGCCGCTTTACCTATCGAAGATTTAAATCTGACTGTTAACATTCTGTTCAGTTCAGTTCAGTTCTTACAACCATTAACCATTCACTTTTGTGCTCCGGTTTTGATTGTCCATTTGGATAAAACAACAGAATAATGATTAGAATGTCGAGAGCTGATTCAAGTAGAAGATAGCGCATTGACAGACTGAAGTTACAAGAATAATGAGTAGATGCATGAGCGCTACTGTTTGCGACACCCAGTCATATCGCTCAGTGTCTCTCAGCCTCGGTGACCACGATCTCGGGGTCATCGTGGGAGAATCACTTAGGAGGGTTATTTGCGTTTTTACGACCGACGCTTGGACAATGATGCTAGACTTCTGTTCAAACCACAAAAGGCCTTCATGAGAACCAGCTTCAAAGGCAGTCCTGTGAAACGAGGGTTTTTGTCTTAACCAATAGGCAGGACTTTTGTTTCACCTTTTTTTACAGAGTTAGCACCCGAAGGTGGATGTCACTCCGATTCGTAACTTATACAATTGTTTATAAAACTTCGGACTGAGCCCATCTAGTCCCAAGTTGAGAACTGGCGTTCCCAGTGGTTTTCAAAACTCTATTCTCTTAGTGCAACTGAAAAACGGGAAACACATGCTCCTGAAATGCCACAAAGCATGTGGTTCTTCTAATATGCAACTACCTGTCTATAAACAACATCATTGTCATTGGTGATGATGATGAGAACCTGATCGATTACTAAAGAGCTCGTGATGTGTCAATTAAATACAAATGTGAAACGCGGATAGCGAGTGCGACCGCTCAAGGAAGGGCAAAATAAGGTCAACCAGCGTGATCAACACAGAGTAATTTTTAGTCTAAAATGAAATTAAAGGCACTTGCTTTCGTGCAGTT